TCTTACACAAAAACACTAATAGTCTGACCATTGTAAGTTGTGTAAAAGAACTCCAAAAAGATCTAAAATGTAAACACCAATTTCATGAATTTCAGAGAAATCTAAGCATTTCAAATTCAAAGAGATCATCAGATAGGTTGATCCAAGATCACTCAAGAGTTGTCCTCATGTATACTAGCACCATCACACTCACAAGTAGGGGTAAAATCAGATCAGATACGTACAAATACAACTCATCCTATACTCTCTATCCTATTTTTTTTGGAGTTAGAGACATATACATCTAGATAATTGTTTCTCCATCCTATATCTTATCCCATATTTGTTTTCTCAAAGTCGTAGTCAGATAGATAGACTAAATTATTATTCAGTTCATGTGTATTCAAATATAATATTTTATTAGACTAGCTATCAGGATACAATTAGAGTGTGTACAAGGACGAGTGATTGCTAAAACATAAAATAAAACAATTATTGTATCATCTATTTACTCTGCATCTTGGTCTATCTTTCTATACAAATATTATTAAGTGAATTCCCAATATATTTCCCAGTGACAGCTAGCATTTTATACTATGAACACATACTACTCATCAATATCATGTTGCATATTTTTAGTAGTCAGAAGCAAACATAGATAATATTATGCATACATTATTTCATTGCATATTTTATATATCTTCGTACGATTAAAGAGCTATGAATTATTCATCCTATTTTCACCCCTACTCATAAAAACTTATCCAAAATCCTCATAGGGATTTTAAGTATATTGAGCACAGAATGGGGCAAAACTAGATAACTCTTTCAAATCTTTTAACAAAATTTAAACTTGGGAAAGTACAAAGATGGATATATATTGAGAGAGAAGATATTCCGTCTATTGCACAAAAATTGCAATGGACCGAAGGTACACAAGAAGGAGGAGACAAAAAAAACAACTCTAGAAGTCAACCAAAAAGGAAATACACAAACAGTAATACAGTGAGGTAATAGGATGGACCAAATTTTCTATGCCAGGTCTATTGCACACTCCATGTCGAATGACAAAGACATCAATTTGCAATTGCTATGACTTTTGTACACTTGGTCCATCGGTCCATGTATAAGATGGCAAAGAAATCAATTGCAATTGTTATAAATTTTCTACACTGTTGCACACTCCATGTATAGGATGGCAAGATTAAAGGCTAATGCATGAAAATAAAACATTTTCTATCTTTCTCCTCCTCACCCTCTCTAGCTATGACTCCCACACAAAGCCCTAAGATGTAAACAAAACTAACCATCTCCCTCTCTTATCCTCTTGGACATTTTGACATCCAAAATGACCCTATACTAAGACACATCTTACTCTCCACTAGAGCCACATATATCATCGATCCTATTTGTGTCCTGAAGACATCCTAAGTTCTTATGACATAGCTTTGCTTGGATGTAGGCTACCACAATGGTACCACATGCATCACCATCCATTTGTGAAGCCACCTTTTATGCTCTCAATGTATAAACTCTATCAACCATATTGATGCTTATCATCTCGTCTTGACATCCTCCATGTTGGAAAATCTTTCGTGGTCTCCCTCTTCATCTACTTCACTTATGACCTGGTCAACCCCATTGTTGTATTCAACTATCCATGGTTCTTGTCATGTCCCTATGTAGTGTGTATCAACAATTACTTTATCTAGCATCTTGATTATCTAGCTACAAGCATTCCTATCTGGCTTTGACTCCATTGGCCCACACCACATGAGACAAACAAATGCATTTCCTTCTCCAATATATGTCACCTTCCATTAACCATACATATGCAATTAAATGCATTGCACCGTATATTTCCTAAGCATATAATCTTGCAATAAATCATATTGCCAATTAATCCACACATGTATAAGAACCATTCATATTGCATAAACCAACTCACATCCAGACTAAATATCAGCAAACTTAACCTATTGGTAATTTTACATCAAAAAAGTGTTGACGGTCATTACAACATGTTTTACACCATGAAAATACCATCAACATACCTTAGAATAAAAGGAAATGAGCATGGCATGAGCATATTTTCTTTAAATAACAAAATTCCACTTGTATTAGTCTTACATGTGTAGAAAGCCAATATGGAAGAAGTGGGTCTAGGAGGGCACCCAAGCGGGGTCTTCCAACCCCTAGGGGCGTTGCCGGACCCCCCCTGGTAGCCCCACTAGCCCCCCCAATATAGGTGAAAGTCAAGAAAACACGTCTTTAAGCACTTTGAATCCTTGAATGCAATGTGTGCTTTATCTAGATGGCACATGTGCATTGGACAAGGATTGAAGGGCCCTCCTATCAACACCTCGCACCACCAATTGACAATGGCGCGTGGAGGCGCACGCGAGCTGTAGCCCCCTTTGGTGGTGGTCTTCTCGAGGTATGATCTACGATGACCTTCTTCTCTCTCTCCCCCCTCATGCACGCTCTTCCTCTCTAAGCGCAGCGGCCGCATCTGGCAGATCCACGAGCTGCACCATCCATAGTGGGCAGATCCACGGCGTCCATGGCAAGGGTGAGCAGATCCACGGCGCTTAATCCATGGCGGTGTGGCTTGGGGCTACGGTGCATTTGTGATGGAGCTCGACGGCACGGTGCTAGGCCTTGGTGGGGTGAGGTAACGGCCAGCTCGATGGTGAAGCAGCAGCGAGCTTCGTGACGAGGAAGCCTTTTAAAAAATTTAATCGATTTGCAGAGGCGGTCGTCTTCTCACTTCTGCTAATTGAACTTGACTAGCGAGCGTTATGCCCACCTCTGTAATTTCTGATTTCCACTGGCCATGTAGTTGAGGCGGGCAAGAAGACCGATTTTGGAAATGTGTTTCAACCACATGTGAAACCTTATTTTGTAGTAACGAAACAACACAATCCTCTTGTATAGCCCTCAACAAAGGAAAAAGATGCATGGCTTATGGCTACATGCAGGGACGGATCTACTTCCGAGGTGGGGTGGGCTTGAGCCCCACTACCGCTACTCGAAGCATAGAGTTCCTTTTGTAAATTGGTACCCATGAAAGGTTGAAAGAAATAGTTTAGAGATGAAAGATAACAGGAGAAGTTCCGTCTAACTTTTTTTTAATCCTCCATTAGCTACATGCGCATATGCAGGCCAGTATTATGCATGTGCTTGAAAAACACAGCACGTCTATTGGACAGGGCAACTACTTACCCAGAGTTATAGTCGAGTCGAGCTGCACTGAACCCCCTCCAGAATTCGGATCCAACCTCTGTTACCCTGCAGTGCCTTTCCACGTCACAGAAACAAATGCTCTTTTCTTTTTGTTTCTCATTCTCACTTCTCAGCCGTGCAGAAGCCGCCTTCTAAGGGGTGGGAGTAGGACTAAGGGGCTTCCATGGGCCTACGACGGTCCTGAACTGTACATTAGGGCCGCAATGAGCCGATCGTCTTGGCCCGTTTATTATATAGACAACTAGTTGCTTAGTAATATGACTGATGCGTGCAGCGTGGAGATAGGGACGAGATAGGATTCATAGGAAGGATGGTAGGAACGTCAAATGTGTGTGCGCCTAGCTCAGTAGCTCTATATCTCTTGCCACCCACATATATATGCCAGTTTTTCCACCCACATATATTATTGCACACATTTTTCGTCGTGGCAAACCAACAAACGAACATGCCGATTTTTTTTTTTAGGAATCGTGGCATTATTGTAGTCCAGCCGCGATAAACAGGGCGATACTGCTACTGACTGTTCTGTCACCACATGCAACTATGAAAAGTACATCTGATAACGCTAGTAAAGAGTACTATCAAAGCAAAAAAAAAACCAGATCCAACGGCTGAGGAAGGCGTAACAACATGGAAACTACGTGCGCGGGTGGGCGCGGGCGGCGCCGCGCCAATGCGCAGGACTCGTGGATCATTTCACCACTCCCAGAAGCAGCAGGATCTGGAGGAAGATGTAGGACGCTCCCCCGATGGTGGCGTACTGCAGCTTGCTCTCCCCCTCCACGTCTGCGAAGTCGCCATCCGCGCACTTGCTGAACCCACCGGCGAGCCACGCCAGGTTCCTGTACCCGTCGTCGTGCAGCATCCTCACCGCGATCAACGACCTTGCGAATTGAAATTCGAACTCCACGCAATGATGAATAAGTTTAGCTTTGTTGCACGTACGAGCATCGCATCTCTTATCGCACACTTGCGTAGTGTTGTTATTTACCTGAGGCCTTCGCCACAGGCGACGAGAAGCTTGGCGTCCTTGCTGCCGCCGTCGGCGACGGCGGCGGCGACGTCCTCGACGAAGCGGTCGTTCATCTTGGTGAAGCCCTGGCCGGTCCAGAGCCCGATGTAGCCGAGGTGAACCCACTTCTTGAGCAGCGTCACGGGGCCCATCTCATCGTCCCCCACGAACAGCGCCACGTGCACCGAGCCCCGCACGCTGGCGCGGGCGCGCTCCCACTCCGGCCGGACGTCCAGCAGGCGGAACCCCTCGGCGCCCAGAGCCTCCGCCGCGTCCCTCGGCCGCACGGCCTTCACCGCACCCGACCGCACCAGCGCCTCGGCGCCTCCGGCCCACGACGTCGCCTGCGCCCTGACGCGACACCGGGGCAGGCCAGGGGAGGCGGACCTGATGCAGGTGGATGCGGCCGCCGCAGCACCCATCGCCATGGGCACTGCCTGCTTTGGCTGCTTGTCAGTTCAGGCTCAGGCCTCACTCGCACGCATTCGTTTCCAGGTCACTCTTATCCACATGATATTCTAGGTCCAATCCGCGCCGTTGGTACACCGGTCACTGCATCTCCTTGCCGTACGATTCGTCCTAAGAGATGAGGCGGAGCTCGACGAGATCTCCGCGCGTTGATTTGTCGCGCACCGGCAGCGGTACAAAACCGGCATAGGTCCTAAACTCCTAATAATAACAGTAAAAAGAAAAGGCCGATTCCTATTGCAAAAGTACATCGATCGACGCACATGGCAGCATAATCGTTTTCTGCTGCAGGACGCTACGCGAACTCGAAGCTCATGAGGAGCTTGACGCTCTTGAACTTGAGCCCCTTGTGGTCGAACAGCGGCACGGCGCGGATCCCTGGCCGCAGCTCCACAGGCAGCGCCGTCTGCCCGCCGAAGTCGTCTTCGCTCACGTCCTGCTCGTGCACCTCCACGCGGAGCACCGCGATCTCCGGTACGGTCAGCGGGAAGGCGAACTACTCCTCCCACACCGGCACCCAGCTGTCCTCCACGGCTTTCGTCTTCCTCATCACCGAGTCTAATGGAACTCCGGCGATGCCAACCTGTTGGCGAACCGAACCAAATTAGCAATGCATCTCAAGTTTCAGGCCTGGCGTGACTGTGCTTCGGACGATCTATAGGCGTCGCTGACTTCTAAACACTGGCACGGGCGCAATGAGTGAACAGACATTTACATAAAAATCTGGAGGTGAGTATGTGTCGAAATGTGTCTGCTTGAAGTCCCTTTGCCAACCTTCCCCCATGTACACCTTGACCTGCAAACCACTACCAAATCAACACATTTCTGAAACCCATAGAGAGAGCAAAAAAAAAAAAAAAAAAAAAAGCGGAAGAAACACACCATCTACCTTCAATGTTGCCTTCACTGGCAAATCTGCCTTCGGGTCAAACATCTTTCCATCTGGACAAGTTTGCATCAAGAAATCTGGTTTCTTCACATAACCGCAACAGCCATTGGCTTTATAAAAACCATGCATTAACCAAAGTGCTCTTCCATGTCCCTGGAGAAAAAAAATGGATATATCAGGTATTCATGACATTAGGCAGCTTCTACACATGCTTAAGCAACTAGTTCTGGCATTGCTTATGTTACAGCCCTAAACTAATTAATCAGGTTTCCTTTTAATGATTTGCTAAAAGAAAGCTCACGGTATACCTAATCATGAACCAACTGAACAACCAAGACATGACCACAATGGTAAAATGAAACTTGATTAGAAACAAGATTACGGTACAAATGCGGTAAAGTTAATATTGATCCAAACCCTAACAGGAAAGTTGCGAATCTATTGGAGTTCAGTCAGGCCAGAATATGTGGTTCAGATTACAGTCAGACCTGCATATTGAATGCCACCATTTGAGCACCATGCACCCAGAAAAGAAATGGATTGTAGTTGGATGAATTGAAGCGGGTTCCCTTTGGGTATATTCTCAGCATATTTCTATGTGTGAAGCTGTTTGGAACAAACAGGAAGAGCTCTTCAGTATGAGAGGAAAAGTGGGCAACTAAGTAGTTGTGAAAGTATTATGCCATATCTCCTCCAACATTGGTGAACAATCAAAATATATTTGGGAAACAAACCTCACAATGTTGGGACCATGACGTGCTGCAACTTTTGCAAGTTCTTGCTCACTCAAACTGAGTCGCCTAACTTTGTCTGGATCGTTCTTTAAGGCATCCACGAGAGGACCCTTTGGCTTTCCTGCCTTGATAGTGATGAGGTGTTTATACTCTGCTGCCACATGCTTCGTTTTCTTCTCATCATCACCATCCGCACCTCTTTCACGGTATAATAGATCGTCATCATTCAGCCAGAACACCATGTGGTAAATATTGATGAACAGAACTTTCAGGCTAAGTAAACAAACGGTACAATGTAGCAGAATTTAAGATCCCTACCCTGTCAGCGACTTGCATCTCATCCTGAATATCTGGAACTTCTACTCCCCATGCTGCTGCTTCCCTTTCTCCCTTTTTAAACTGGGTCTCAATTTCTCTCTCCTTGGTGGTGTCACCCTTTGCTTCGAGATACACCTTTGGGGGTTTCGTTGACAGCATGACACGCCCCTTTAGAGCTTCAAGTGAAGGAAATTCTTGAAGATGTTTCGATTCAGGGTAATACAGGATGTCTCCAAACACTTCAAGGACCATCTATACAAGATTTCAGAAGTAGCTACACTAGAATCACCTGCCATATATTAATCATTCAAAGAAATGCAGTTACCTTAGCTACTTTCGCCTGAAGATCAGGTGTAAGGTGGTCTTCTAGTGTTATAATAACAGGATAGGGAGATGCAACAAAAGCATATTCTTTGATGGATCTCAAGCATTTGATAAGTGATACTGGGGCAGTCAGTGTCCTATCAAGAGTGAAAACGTGAATGAAATCACAGGCAACACATCTCATGGCAGCTTCAGCTTTCAGTATAGAAATAATGTTTCAACAAGATGGTGTGCAAAAACACACACACAAAAAAATCCTCATGAAAGGAATGCACAAAGTATCAATGCGTGCAGATATATACCTTCCATGGAGAACATCAATGTCATCTTTAGAAGAATTTGGCCATATGTCCAATTCAATTACACGAACACCTATTTGCAGTGCCTTGATGATGGGAACATCACTGCAGTCACTGCTGAGTTGATTACCGGTCAGATACGAGTTGTGTCCAGTGTATATAAAATAGTGCGATAGCGGTGCGTTCATGTCCTGATGGACCTGGAAAAAGGTATTTAACGTCAAACAATTCATGGAGTGCAGGGTTATCATTAAAATCGCACATCAATAATGGAGCTGCACATGCTAGCCACAGCAGATAATTGCCAACAGAACTTTTTTTTCCTTCGACAGCAACAGCCAACATATTAGCTAATTACGAAATTCAGAACTGTTATGAAGAAACAGTGCATCTATCAATCAAACCCAAAGCACAAAGCAGTATATATATCACCATTCAACCCTGAGCTTGCTAAGCATGGCACGTCATGACACAAAATTACCAAAGGCAATGGGAGTATGCGACAACATTAGAGATGCATTAATTAGTTGATAGAGACATCACTTTGAACCATAACGTCAAGCCTATGAAGCTATGACGCTAAGAAAGACAAAATAAATGGACTATGTAATTGTGCTCTTTGCTGCACATGTTCCATTGACACAGCGTTATATGAGGAGCAGCAGTTCACATTCACAAGTCCCATTTCGTGATCCACAAAATGTTGAACTGACACAGGCATTATATGAGGAGCAGCTCACATATCCCTATGTGATCTGCAAACGGTACTGATTTGGCCACATTGCATAATCCGCCCCCGCAACCAGCAATCGCACCAATAGACAGTGGAAACAATGAATGAAGCCGCATATGGATTGGGGATCGAGCAACTTCCGGGTGGACTTACCTTGGAGCAGCGGAGGGGCGGGTTGAGGTCCTCGGAGAAGAGGAAGTGTAAGAAGTCGTCAACGGTTAGCGCCGGCCTCCCGAACCGCGGGGTGCGGCTGCGATCCTGCAGGATACGGTCGATGATCTGCTCCGGGACCTCGCCGTCGGCACCTCCCCAGGCGGCGAGGTAGCGGCGGAGGTCGTCGACAAGCATGTACGGCGAGCCGCCGGCGTAGCGGGAGAAGAGCGCGCGGACGTCCTCCGGCGTGGTGGTGTCGGCGAGCGCGAACCTGCGCGTGAAGAAGATGCAGCACTTGTACGTCCCCATCTCCGCCGCGGACGCCCCCGCCTGGTCTGCCTCCTCGGCCTCGCTGTCCGTCCCCGGCGGAGGTGTGTGGGGTGGGGAAGCGCGCGGGGAAGCTGCTTTGTCTCGTTTGGGCATTTTCGCGTCGCGAGGTTTCAGGGCGATTTGGAGGGTGGACGAATCGTGCAGGAGGGAAGGGAACTTTTCATCAGGGAACTGCCGGTTGGTTAAGTACCCCGGCTGCGCTCGCCCGTTGATTGATTCTTCTTAAACGCACCTGCTTGGCTGCTTGCATCTGTGTGCGTTCACGTTTTTCTCCGACTTGTGTGATAAGGCCCTCTGCAGTGTTGCTCTTGAGTGATGCTGAGAGAAGAAAAAGAAGATTTTGGCACTGCTTACCATTGTGCATAGCCTAACTGACAAGTTGCCCCGACCAGCACCACGGCTTCTTTGTAAACCTGAAATTCGGCAGTCATCTGTCTCGGCGGATATCTTGTCTGGCGTCTAGATTCGATGGCGTGGCCGTTGGATGCGAGACAACTAGTCGAAAGATAATGGATGCTACCGTACAAAATGATCTAGTAGAGAACACACATGGGAGGATGCCACCGAAATTAGGGAAGGGGGAGGCGGATCGGGTGGCGACAAGGGACGGCGGACAAGACAGCAACGGTTATGATTTGGGGGTTAGGGTTTTAGATTTTCATGAGAATTCCATGGTCAACAGCCTTAGAAGGGGAAAGGTTTGGGTGAAGCCGGCTACGAGGACGATGAGTCGCCAACGAGGTTGGTTGAATGGGATCAAGAAAGGGTAGAGAAGCGGTGGGTAGGGAGGTCGTCCTGGCCTAGGCGGGAGGCGGGAGTGGGGTGGATGGGGGTGAGATGGAGGTTGAAGATGAGCGTTAGTATTCTTACCGATTTAATGAATAGTGACAGATCTTTTCCTTTTGCAAATAAGATAATGCCAGCCAACATTTATATCTTTATTAAATATATTAAATAAGTTTGTTGTGAAAATACATTCAACGATTAATCTAATAACTTATTGCATACTAACTATTAATAATTTCTTCTATATATATTTTTAAACTAACTTTAATAATTCCTTATATATATTTAGTCAAACGTTTATAACCTCCCAAAAAGTGATCGTGGGACGAAGCAAGCCGTATGGGAAAGGCAAAAAAGGGCACCGGGATGTGACAAGTCAAACAAAGATTTCCAGGGTAACTTAAAAGTTGCAACCATGCTATAATATAAGAGCAACAAGTGGATTTAATAATGGATAATGACACATCCTTTCCTTGATAACGACAGCCTTTTCACATATGAACCAGAAATGCAATTAAGTGCCTCCTTAGTTCCTAAAATTTTACAAAAATTTCCAAAATTCTCCGTCACATCGAATCTTTAGACCCATACATAAAGCATTAAATATAAATAAAAAATAAAACTAATTACACAGTTTAAACAAAATTTACGAGACAAATCTTTTAAGTCTAATTAGACTATGATTAGACACTAATTACCAAATACCTACGAAAATGCTACAGTACCATTTCTCAAAAAAAAATCACCAACTAAACAAGGCCTAAGATAATGCTAGCCCTTTCCCATATGACCCAGAAAATGGTGCCATGCGTAATAGCACGAATTGCAAACAACATATTTTGCTGTCTCAATGCGAATGTCAACTTGTAACAAATGAAAGAAAACTAACGTTCCTTTCATTTATGATGATTCAGTAACTACCACGATACCAAAAGATAGAACAATTATCTCTGCCAAAATGTATCGTTGACAAATGAACAGTGAAAAGAAAAGAAATTACCACGGTGATCTAAAAAAAATAGAAGTCGTGGTAAGTAATCATAATAAACAAGATTTGCACCGACCACGACCAATCCCTTTAGAAAGTAAGATTTCCACCAATACTTCAACAAAAACCTAATTACTGCACATTTGCTGTTTCTGGACCTCGATTTCCTTTTCATTTTACCAAGATCTACACCGAACACCAACCATGCCCACTGGAACAAAGAGATCACTACAGAACATTTCCCCAACTGGCCAGATTGTATGTAGTTCTGCAACAACACAGCAAAAATACTCCAGTGACTGGTAAAAGGCAGTCCGCTGTCCACATCATCCGCTAAACAAATTACGAACATAATCTGCACAGAAAGGAAATAAACACAGTTTATAAATCTGTACACAGTAGCAAGAAAAAGCAATCCAAAGCAATATAAAGTTTTCATAATGCACAAAGTTGCAAACACAAGTACAAAACAAAAGTGATAGCAGATAACAAATATTACTGTGCTCCAACATGTTCACCATTTTCATATGCTTACACTTCACCACATCGCCAATTGTGCTAAAAGGTACGATTTCCATTAAACGGGAGGACTAAGCAATCAATAAAGAGAAGAGCATTCACTTTTTTTCCCACCACGGTAAAACCAAATTTCATTACCTTGGCAACGAAATTACAATTTTTAACAGTTTGAGAAAGTGAAACGTAGTTGCTACCCACCTCCATGTTTCTGATAGGGATCAGACAACATGAGCCAACAACCAACTAACAACTGAACTAACAGAGCTCACCAACAAAAGACCCAACCTAGCGAAGACCGGTAAAAATAAGAGCATTCAGTTATACTCTTGGAAGGCCAATCCAGCTCCGGACCTCCATGATCTGGGCTCACTGACAGTAGTACCCAATCAAGTGTGGAGGAATGGTGGTACATAGCACTGTGGTGACCTAAGCTGAGGCCATTGACCATTGACCCTAGAGTGCATAAGGAGAAACAGAGACTGGATCTCAGCTGGACTAAGTGCCATAATTTGAGTGCCACCATTGGTTTAGAGAGTATCGACAAGCACGACCGCAAACCGCCAGCCACCCTATTCAACTTTTTGTTGCCTTATACAAATGACAGGATAGGATTTTACATTCCCGCAGAGTGACAAGGTTGCGGTGGCAGCCAGCCACCACATGAGGACACTTGACAGCAAAATCCAACCACCCCCAAGCCAGATTAAGCACCAGCAGCAGGCTAAACACTCTAGGAGGTCATTTCAACAGTTGCAGCAGCAGCAAGCAACCATTTCAACATGCTGAGTTGAGCAGCAGCTGCCACTGAATCAAAATCAACACAAGGTGTTTGACATCATAGCACTGTCAATGTGGACAACTGGACACCATAAAAAATGTTCAAACCAGCAAGCTCAACGGATAGCAGCCACAAGCATCATCGTATGAGGAGAGTGGAGAGAGATGAGTGGGTGATAAGGAAGAGAAGAGGGAAAAGGAAATGCCCTGACTTCCAGGACAGACAGGCCACAGGGGAATAAGGAGGGGATCGTGCAAGAAGTGCTGAGCTGCTGCCACATGTTGGCACAAATTTTACCAAGGGTACAGACATAATAGTACAGATGGTGGTGACCGGACGACCACCACCAACTACCGCCACCGCAGCCACTGTAATACTATATATATAGGCAAATCTTAATTAATGTACTGATAGAATACACATCTTTAAGTTATCGTAGAGATACATAATTGAAATAAGCCACAGAAAACAATTTTCTTGAGTTCAGGCAGGTTGAATTTATGTTTCCTTTGAAAGAACTGCTTGAATTAGTATATGAGATCATCTGACCTATCTCATCCCTAGAACATTTCTACTTAGCATATCAAACAAGTAATGCAAGAGCTGGCCTGAAATACATAATGGACAAAGCACGTACAGATTCCTTCAGGTAAAATACGAAAAGAAAGAAATGATAAAAACAGTTAACCATATATCAGAATTCAGAACTACCAAGTTGTTTAGCTGCATAAAGACACTAAGTATCTTCAGCTACTGAGATAAAAGGCATCTATTAATTATGTTAAAGCCCTCCATGCTGAAGGAGTTGAATATTTTACTCTAAAGCGTCTTCAATTTGTCATTCGATTTAGGGACATCACTGGGTTCATTTATCAACAACTTGTCAATTTCCAGTTCTAAATGACACTTGCAGATAGTATCCACCATCGATTTGTCATTCGATTGAACAGAATTATCACTTATAACATGTGAACATCACTGCTAACTATTGCATTGGTTCCAATGACACTTCTAAAACAGTCTTGAATGAATTACAATCATGTATTTGATGCTGAGCAGTTGAACAACCTTTAAGACTAGAGAAGTGGTCAACGGCACGCAAGGTGTTCCAAATTTATGTAGGAAAAAAAAACTTCCAGTGGCATACAACACATCCTAGTTTCCAATAGCTACACAAACTTGCCTCATTTGACGTTCCGTGCATTACCTCCATCTTGCTAGTACTAATTTCATTGCCATAAACATCTATAACTAGATGAATTATTCAACCGTAATCATGCAGCGCAAAGAATAAAACTACCTTGTAATCCCTGGGCAACCAAATAATCGACTACATTTACAATTCAGAGCCCGATCTTATCTTGTATATGGCCTGACTCTGCAGGTCTACTATCAGATATCAGTCAGAACTGCTACCGCTTTTGCATTTTGTTTTCACATGCACAATGTCATCAAGTAATTTTCAAACACCTACTAATCAATTACAATCAGTAAGAAGATGCAAAACTTCCAAACTATGAAACGTAGATACTTCGCAAAACTCGCGTACCGGTATGAGACACTCCACGCATACGTATCCCAGACGTATCAAAAGTTTACTCAATTTCCAAATAATAAAAATAACCCAGACAATCCTGAGATACCTCACCAGTACACGTGTGATACCTTGAAACCCTATCATCACTCATTCGCTTCGTATAAGAGCCCTTGTCAGATCATGGCAACTAGTTTGAATGCATTTTATCTACCGATGGTGGTTAAAGCGGAGGATTTCCTGTCTCCAACAGCCCAGCTATTGCAACTAGGGTCTTGGTTGCTTGATGGCCTGAATGTTATGCCCTAAATAATGTTATATTATGTAATATTTGGCGTCTTTATTATATTTTATATGCATATTGGCACATCGCCGTGTCTGTGTTTTTTTGGGGGAAAATAGCATAACAGAGTATCGCCATATTGCATACCAGTATCTATATCCAGGCATCATAGCTTCCAAATAAATTAACTATGTTAAACATTACA